GAGAATGATGTACAAATGCGCTTTACACAATTGATGTGTGTATGGATTGCGATAACAGTTGTATGAGCCCCTAATAAAATGTTTGAAAAAAACAATGAAACCGAAAAATCGAACTGAACATATTTATTGTGACTGAGGCACAGCAAACTCCCCACACTAGGTAGATATTTAAGAGCTGAACAAATGTGGTGTGGGACATAGGAGTACACCCTCGACCACATATGGACTTGGCAGAAGGTACTTCTACAGATATACTTGTGTGTGTCGTAGCTCTATCCACATTTATAATAGAGCTCGCATAGGAGGCAGAGTTGCACAAACTTCCTAGCCAAAGTTATGCAAACAAGAACATAGTCACTGGATTTGGAGACGTGAGACTCAGTAACACAGTCCATAAGAATAATAATGGTCTATATCCTACTTTGCTGAGTAATCACTAGAGTCTTAAAGGCTCAGAGTTGACCATCTCAGATACAACTGCTGGTCTCTTTCTATCTGGAACAAAGAGGAGTGAAGAGCATCACATGTCTCCAAAGCTTAAATAATTGATCCATAGGGCCAATGGCCCGGGGAACCACAGCTTGCACTAGCTGGAGACCCAAACTAGATGGCTCCTAGCCACGCACACCAACCTCTCCGATCAGATCGCAGTAGATGTTGCTAGAAAGGATGGAGAAAGGGGTAGGAGACAATCCAAAATGATGAAAAAGATCAGGTTTACTGCTCTCATAGATAAGAGTGGAGCCTTCAAAACTATGGTCCTTAAAAGATAGCTTTTGAACCCAGAACTAAATCCACACCCAGAGATCACCTTTCCGCCAAACAATAGACCTCTACAGTGACAAAAACACCTGGGGGGCAGGGACACCGCAGAAGAGGACACCCTCTTTGACCCGAAGGCCAGCATGTGTCCAGAAACAACGTTCAGAAGGCCCAAAGGGGCAAAGAAGATGGGTGAGTGCAACGGACGAAAGAACGCAGGGAGGCAGCGGGAAGACCCTGGGCTATAGAGGACATTGCCACGGAGGTCAGCAAACAGCGTATCAGTCGCTGAGGGGAACCAATGTGCTTTGTACACTCTCACCCACATCAGAAAAAGGGTTTTATTTTTTAAAAAGCAAAACACCTTCCTATAGAAAAACAACTTTGGTTTCTCTTTTATGAACTCACGCTTCCTTTCAAGTGAGCCCAGAGCAGGAGTTGCCCACAGTACGCTCTCTATGTACCAAGCTGTCAGATGCATCATGCTGACCCATTATTGACTAGAATACAGTGATCAGAACGCTCAGGTTCAGACTTGAACTGTTGATGATCCTTTAACTCGATAGCCACTTCTTATGACATAAATTAAACCTGCACGATCTAATGACAGTGGGTCATTTATCCCATTTACCCGTGCATCAGTCACGGTTTCACGCCTAATGGGAGACCTTGGGGCTGATGGCCGAGGCTGGCTATTGGGAAACCCTGTCATCAGCTGCAGCAGCTTTCAGAGCTGTGAGCTGTTATATGTGATAATGAGCCAGGTGTTTCTGGTGACTGGCTTAATTAGAGTTGGCACCTTAGGAAATGCCATTAACTCCTTAAGGGACTGTCACAGTAGGTCACTGGCCACAGGCATGGATGTGACATGCTGAAATAAATGACCAAGTCAGAAATGTTTAGGATATTTGTATCTTAAGACAAAATTTGAGAATGACTGGGCCAGATGAGGAACTTCTGGAGACAGTTCTTAAAGCCTTGGGGCCATTAGAAATGTCTCCTTCTGTTATCATAGTTGTGTTTTTGGTTTTTTTTTTTGGCTTATCAATGATAGGTGTTGAGTATCACAAGTACAATTGTACAGGAGCCCCACTGGTGTAGTGGGTTGCATACTGGGATTCCAAGCACAATGTCAGCAGTTCGAGCCCACCAGCTGCTCTGAGGAAGAAGGAGGAGACTCTATGCTCTCTTAAAGCTTTTTTCAATGTCAGAAACTGAAAGGGGTACTGCTACATGGTGCTATAGGCTCACTATGCATCAGAACTGACTTTTTCCAATTTACCAGACAGTGGTGCCTGTGGGCCCCGCCTTCTCCTGCGAATGGACCCGTTGTGCTTACACGTCATTTTATTTAGCGACCTTTGTGTGTACATAATAGTCATTCCTGAAGACCTCTTCTAATCTGTGCTTCAAATGACCTCAGCAAAGACAATACAGGGGCAGGGGGGAGGGGTGCCCTCAAAAAGTTAGTGAAAACCTCTATTATCTTTTCCTTCCCTCTTCCACAAATGTTTTGATCCCCCTTTGTTCTATCTGTTTGCTAGTTAAAGTGCCTACTTATGTGGCAAAAACGAAAAGAAACAAATACTTGGAATTTACTCAGCTTGGTTGGAGATGATAGGATTCTGGGTGAATCTTTAAAGAGAATTTGGGGAGTAATCATTCAGTTTTTAACTCACACCCAGAGAGAGTTATTAATATTTTATAGTAAGACTTATCATGTCTTATGTTGTACTATTGCAAACTTAAAATTATTCAAATTTAGATAAAATGCAACGATACTGTTTGTATATTGCCTGAGATTTCATCCAATGGCAAGAGAGTCCCAGAATTTTTTTGGAAACGGCTACCATTGCCAGCATCTTCTTAGACAATGAGGACGAGGGTGGAAAACGCCTGCTGCCTGCCTTTTCTGGACTTCAAGTGGGTGCGTGGGAGCTTCACTGAGTGCTGAAAGGTCTTTGGAAATGTGTGAAACTAAGTAGCAAGCAATAGACTTCACTCAACCAACCAGACTTCTTTAAATCACCAAATTTCTCTAAATGGCATTAAAGATGAGCATAGTCCAAGAAGTTCACACAGTCTTGTTTGGTTGTAGGTCTTGGCCAGCCTGCGGACTGTACGAAACAACTTTGCTGCATTAACTAATTTGCAAGATCGAGCACCCAGCAAGTAAGTTACCCTCCTCTTTTGTTTTTCCCCCTCCATCTTCCTCAACTTTTATATGGTGTTTTCTCAATCTGAGTGAATTTCGGGTAATAATCAGATCACCCTGAGTGGTGAGTGGTTATCTAGCTATTGAAACTGTCAGACAATCTCCTGTGAATTGTCTGTAGGTCCTTGGGAAAGGTGGTTCTGATATCAGAGATGAAACCATATGACAAATAAGTACAGCGATCCCATCTGTCAGTCACTTGCCATCCTCAGTCCTCTGCCCAGTTCATTCCACTCCGGGTAACCTCATCATTTTTACCTACTTCATAAATTGACCCTGGGTATACCACCTATTGAGAGAACGATGGAGACTTCTACTCCCGTGAAGAGTTACAATCTTGGAAACTCACCCTGTCCAGTAGTTGTCATCGACTGAGTGGCAGTGAGCTGAGCCTTCTTAGCAAGGCCTTGTGAGTGTGACCAATCATGGGATGAGACTGATATTCCACAGGGCAGAAAAGCTGCTCCAGCTCCAATGTGGTTTGGATTGGTGCTACCATCTCATGCAGGAGCCTGCTGGCACTGTGGGTTAGATATTGGGCTGCTCACATAAGGTTGGCTGTTCAAACCCACTGTTCATTTGCTCTATGGGAGAAAGACGAGGCTGTCTGCTTAGTTTCAAACACCTCCAATGGGGACACTGTCGATCAAAATTGATTGGACAACACACAGTGAGTGGCTGTCATCTTGTCAAGCCTGAAAGTCACCTCAACGCCATTCTTGTCATTCTGAGACACATTTCATAGCAAAGATCGGCACCTCTCCTGCTGTCACTCAGACCGGCAGCCTTCAGGGAGCATTTTGGTAAAATTGGATTTCTGTGATAACAGGCAACTTTGAAAGAGGTGATCAGAAAGGTGAAAGGTGAGATGGGGCATGATTCTCATTTGGCGGCTATGAGGAAAGGTGAAAATATTAAAAGCGAGAATCCATTTTTGAAGATGGAATGGACATTTGATCAGTTGTTATGAAAATAACTATTTGGAAATTTTATTTTTTGTAATAAATTCATATCATTAAAATACAGTCATTACAGACTCTCCAGAGGGCGGGGATCTTTAAATCAATACAAGAGAACAGTGACGGAAATGTCTTTGGAATCACAATTTGCTCTGCTGATCAAAGGGGCTCTGGGGACACAGTGGCCTATGTCGGGGTGTGGCAATCACAAGGTCCGTGGTTTAGATCCACCAGGCCCACAGGGGAGAGAGAGAAGGCCGCCTGCACCCACAGAGCTTCCAAGTCTCTGAACTCAAAAGGGGCCTGTCCTATCGGGTCAACGTGTGGAGGTTGAATTGGTGGCAGCGGGTTTCATTTTGTGCGTTTCCAAAGCATATACAATCTTATGACAGTTACCAGTTCTGAAAGAAATCCAAACCTCTGACCTTTCTATTTCCCAATAATATCCTGGACCGCCAGAATGTAGTTTCCATAATTACAAAGCACTCGGCAAGTCCATCCTGGGAGAGAACACATGTTTATAAATCAGTGTACTTGCTACACCGTAATGAACTGGGGCGGGACTTAGAAGCATCAGCTGATTGTCATGTGGGCCACTTGATGGATTTTTACAGTCCTTCCCCCTCAACCTAAGCCTTTTCTCTAGTATTTTCCCCTTCCTCAAACAATGGGCCTCAACTTCGATGTAACTTTTTCTAGGGTAACCTCCCCAACGTACCTATTCCCACAAGGCCCACACTGGTAATGCAGCCTTCTTCTGCAGTGTGGCCCCATCCAGTACTCAACCCCTCTCACAGCTCCTTGCGCTCTCTGCTTGTCTGGATGCTCCTTAAGAAAGACCCTGTGGAGGACATGGATCCTCTGTTTGGGCGATGGAAAATCCAAGAATGGTTAATGATGCTGTTTGGACAGCATGTGGAATGCCATCCAGATCAGTGAGCGGTATATGTGAAGATCGAAGCCGTGTCAAATGTTTGTTAACTGCATATTTATCCTGGTACACTTGCATATCTGTGTGTGATATGTGAAAGTCATGTCTTAAGTGAGTAGAGATTATATCTTGTCCACATTTGTGTTTCTGATAATGAGCGTAACCACTAGCATCGCCATTACTTTGTGAATGCCTGTTGGTTGAAAGGGTGAGTAGTGACCCGGCCTATGAAACCCAGGCTGCGATGCCAGGTTGCCCTTCCTTACCTCCCATGTGTTCTAGCTGCATGGCTGTACTGACATCAATGGCCACTTGGGGATGGGAGCGCTTGGTAGGACATAGGGTCACTCACAGTGCCTCCCGCCCCCCTCTGGAAAGTCTGAGACCTACAAGAGGAAGGACATTTCTGATTTTCATTTCCAATTTCAGTCTCAAATTTCATCCAGGACATTGGAGTTGTATCTTTAAAAGGTATTCAGGATACCTTCTGTGTCCTTCATTGGGGGGGGGGGGGGGGCTTGGACACTAGCAGCTGGGCCCTGTGGTCGGGAAAGAGTGGGTCAAATAAGGGTGAGGATGTCACACATCACACTGCCCCTCTCTCACCAAGAGATCCTGGGAAAGACCACAGTGTTCGACTGAGTCTCAGGGAGAAAGTTGGGGACAGTGGAAATGCAGCCCTGATGGGAGCTTGTGGGGCACAAACAGCTAAAGCACCCAGCCACTCCATGAAAGGCTGGGGGGCTGAGTGCACCCAGAGGCCTGGAAAGACAGGCGTGGCCATCCGCTTCTGAAGAGCCCAGAGCCCTGAAAGCCCTCTCAAGCAGCTCACTCTGCTCCAGGGTGGGCGAAGAGGGGGTCCTCTGTGAGGCAGAATCACCTTTATGGCAACTAGCTTTCAATCAGTATGAACTTGCTCTTGCTTCATGTCCTGTGACATTCAGCTTATTTACCTCAAGAAACCGTCACCTCGTAGCGCAAAGGGCCCCTTGGCACTCGACTGACTAGCCTGAGAGAAGTCGGCATTGTCATTCTCTAGCTTAAACATCATCCTTTAATTGAAGATGGTCTGTCTGAAATGACTCACTCAGACTCAAAGTCACTGCCACGGAGTCAGTTCTGAGTCACAGCAAGCCTAGAGGACAGGGTAGAACTGCCTCTGTGGGTTCACCGGATTGTAGCTCTTTACCATGGAAGAAAGCCTCATCTTTCTCCACAGGAGCACCTGGTGGTTTTGAACTGCTGACCTTGGGGTTAGCAGCCCAACACGTAACTACTGTGCCACCAGGGCTCCTATGAAATGACTCCCAGAGTATGCAGATCTTCAGTCAGCACATACTCATTGCTCTGTGTTTTTCTCTCTTTGTCAGAAGATCACCCATGTGCAACCAACCATCTATCAACAAAGCCACCATAACAGGTAAGGTCCGCTGGCACGTTCTTCTCCTCCTGTCTACGGGGAAAACGTACCTTCTGTGGGTCAACATAATCCTAGCACCGGTTTTCTACCGCGATTATGTTTCTTAATGATTCTTTCCTCTCTGAACTATCATTTCTTGGATTCATCTCACAGGTTGTGCATTTACACTGTTCCTTGGGAAATCTGTATGGTCGTTTTGCTTCTCTTTTTTTGGTCACCGCGTGCCCTTGTGCTCGTGCTGGGTATGGCTCTTGGCATGTGTGTTGTGAAAAATATTATTGCCTTCAAAATGCTGCAGCATGTGGGTTCAAAGGTAACATGATGAGTCCGGGGCCGGTAGATGTGTCGTAGATGTAATGCACATGGAAGCATGAATAAGAGGATATCTTCTTGGACAGTCAAGATACCAGTGGTGCAGAGGGAAGAAGCTACTGCTGTGAGCCTGTTGGGACCCAGACATCTGAGAATAAATGTATTGGGGAAAGCAGAGAAGAAGTTATATAATGCAGGGGGAAAAGTCACTGAGTGTGAAAGAAAAGGTCCCACAGATGTTTGCCAAGGAGAAATAAAGAAAGGGTGAGGGAGCTAAAGGTCAGAGAAATAAAATTACCCAGGTTCCTACGTGTCTGTCTGAGATAAGAGATTTGACCTCAACTGAACCAAACATGGAAGGAATGATCTCATTCTGAACCTGAAATCAAATCGAACGTACTTAACTCCTGTCTTGAAACCCCAGTTGAATCATTAAAATAATTGCCTGGCAAAGAAAAACCTATGTTTTCTAAAATTATTTCCAGGAGAAAATGAACATATTCTCCAAATGAGCCCAAGAGTTCATTTGGTTCGTCTTCCTTCAAATTCATTCAACGTGTAATAAGCTGACGTGCTTCTCCTTCAATTATTAGTAATTACACCTGACCCAAAACTTCTGTCCATTGAGTCCACTCAGCATTTTTCAACCAGTCTTGTCTACGGTTGGCCACCGCATCACCGTGGAATATGGGATAGTTGGCAATGTTGCCTATTTCTTCCCGAGTGTCTGTTGAAAAGTGCCCCTGTTTCGATGACTACTCAATTATTGATGCTCTTTTCCACGATTCCCTTTTAAGATCTTGTTGGCAATGATTTCCAGTTCCCATTTCCCAGCGGTTTAGTGCGGCTCAATGGTTTTACCATTTGCCATTGATCAAGAGAGGAACAATAATGGAAATCCCTGTATATTAAACATCAGCCACACACATACCAGAAAAATCCAAGTCGCATGTAAATGTGCCCACATTGAGACAGGGATCTTTCTGCTCACTTGCCTGGACATATCAGAGGAGGAAGAGGCCTGCTTTTGCCAGCACCGACCTGGTGTTGCTATGCCCGTGATGACCACACCTACCCTGCCCTGGTATAACGTAGGATCCCTCTGAAGAGGGGGCCTCTCCCCTCCCATTTTTGCAGTAAGTAACCTGGTGGTCTAGTGATTTACATGTTGAGCTGCTAACCTTAAGGTCAGTTGTTCGAAACTACCAGCTGCTCTATGGGAGAAAAAGAGGCTTTCTACTCCTGTAAAGAGTTATCGTCTCAGAAACCCACGGGAGAAGTTCTACCCTGTCCTCTAGGGTCACTGTGAGTCAATCGACTCCAAAGCCGTGGGTTTG